TTATTTTTATTTTTTTAAAATATATCCTTATTGATTTCAGAGAGAGGAAAGGAGAGGGAGAGAGAGAGATAGAAACATCAATGATGAGAGAGTCATTGATCGGCTGCAGCCCGCAACCCGGGCATGTGCCCTGATGGAATCGAACCCTGATCGCCTGGATCCTAGGTCGATGCTCAACCACTGAGCCATGCCCAGCTGGGCTACAGTATCCTTTTTAAAGTGTCTTAAATTAAATCAAAGGCACATCATCAAAGTAAAACACTTACAACATTAAAAATCCATTTAGCTTGTAAAATTTTCACACTGCTTTGTTTTCAATCATTTGCAATGCTCTGTAAGCCACATTTTAAACATTTGTGAAAGATATTAAATAATGTAGTATTTTTTAAAGTACAACCACAACTATAAAATAGAGGAACTTAAGATAAAGATTAGGTCTGCTGCACACAAAGAATGGGGAGATCTGACACACAACACATTAATCTTTCCAAACAAGTTTGCTAAGAAACAGCTTCCATATTTAGTGTTAAAATTTAAACCTCACTTACAAAATATTGAGACATCATTTGATTAATTAAGTCTTTTCCTCCCCCTCAATTTCATATTGGCTTGCCTGCATTTAGAAACTGTAAATTCATGAGAGAAGGACAAGTTTTGTTATGGTGTAAAAATCTTAGGAACAACAAATTACAAATATTCAATTTTTTAATAAACAAAAATGTTTTCCTTCCCAAAATGTAAACATTCAGTAAATAAAACACACATAATATTTCAGGTATAGAAACACTAGTAATTCACTTATGAATGAGGTGCATTTTTGTATATTGGGCGGTACGGTTTTTGTTTATCTTAAGTATAAAGCACTTCACCAAACAAACCGGGCTATCATTATTATTTAAAAGTCTACTCCTTCACCCAGGTTCCCTAGTTGAGTTGCAACTGATGAATTTATGTAGAATTCTGGCTATAAGACCAGCCCACAGGAAAGGTCTGAAATACCTAAAAGTCATTTGGTGAGAGAAAAATGTTTTCTTGAGACTTGGAGGCAGTCATTCATCACTTTGCGCCTGAAGGCATTCCTTAGCGAACTTCTTTCCTACAGTCTTCAGAGCAGGGCACAGGATCTGGGCCCCCAGAAAGGGTTGCTCCCTGCGGGAACACTAACCAGCAGGACATCCTTGCAGGCGTTCTGCATACAGTACTGCTGGAGCTCTGCAGCCGCCTGAGAGACCTTGATCCTCTCCACACTGGCCTCCAGCTTGAGCTGCTCCACCAGGCGCTGCAGGGCATGCACGCTGGCCCCAGAAGGCATGGTGGCCATGCTCTAAACTTTTTTTTTAACTAAATTTTTTTTCCTCTTTTGTATAAAAGAATTTTGGCTTTCCTAGCTTATTTTTAGTTTTCTTTTGCTTATTTGCTTTGTTTTGTTTAATCACTGCTTGTAGTATCAAGACTTTCTTGATATCCCTACTTAACAACTGGGAGTTTATCATTATAAACAAGTTTACTCCTTTCCTCTATAGTTTCCCCCAATTCTCTTACCAGACTCCCTCCCTGCCTGGGCTATCTCTCTCTCTCTCTTCTCGATCCATTGGCATAATGTTTTTTCCTTTTTCTTTTTCTACTTTTCTTTCATTCTTTCGTTATCTTCCCTTCTGTATTCCTGTCTTTTTGCTAGATTGTTAGTTTCTCTTATTCTCTTTATTGTATTTTTGTTTTCTCATTTTCAACTATTATCTTATTCCTACTCTCTCCCTTAATATTTTGCTGGCCCTTCTTTCAGAATCTTTTCTCTGCTTCTGTGATCTCCCAGTAGCTTCTCTATTTTTCACATTTTAGTTTAATATTATTTTCTAAATTTTCACCAGCATTAACAACAATATACATCTCTCTCTCTCTAAGCATTGCTTTTCTTTCTCTCTTTCTTTTTTTTTAAGCATTTTTGATTGTGTGTGTGTTCTCACTTCACTTTCCCAGTTCTATTTTCACATGGGTTGTTTTCATTGTGACTGTCAAGATATTTGTAAGATACCTCTTGTTTCCTGGAAGTTTAGTTGTGTATTGTCCTGGCTTTCCAGCACCTGTACAACAGCTTACACAATGAGGTTGGGGCTGAGACAAGGTTAGCCAACCTGAGAGGAGGGTCCTCCCAAGGACTGATCAATTACAAGCTAGACCTAACCACAACAGGAGAACATAAAGAAACCACAAAAGGGACACCCACAAGAGGGACACGCCTAGAGCAAAGAGCTCAGAAGTATACACCTCTGGGCTCCACTGGACCCACAAGACAAAATCCATCCCACAAGACTGGGGGACAGCAAATATATATAATATATAGATACAAACACTAAGACCTACCAAAATAGGGAGACAAAGAAACAACCCCCAAATTAAAGAAAATGAAACATTGCCAGAAAAAGAATTTGATGAGATGGAGTTAAACAAGTTATCAGAAATGGAGTTCAGAGTATGGATGATGAAGATGTTCAAGGAACTTAAGAAGACACTAGATGATAAGATGGAGGGCCTTAACGAAAACATAAAAAAAGAAATACATACCATAAATAAAACTTAGACAGATAAAGAATGCTGTATCTGATATCAAGAATGCACTGGAAGGAAATAAAAGCAGGCTCAATGAAGCAGAGGATAGAATCAGTGACTTAGAAGACAAGGTAGAAAAAAATCATACAATCAGAGCAGCAAAAAGAAAAAACACTTAAAAAGCATGAGGACAGTCTAAGGGAATTTTGGGACAACATGAAGCCAAAGAATATTTGCATTATCGGAGTGCCAGAGGGGGAGAAAAGAGAGCAAGGGATAGAGAACTTGGTGGAGGAAATAATGATAGAAAACTTCCCTAGGCTGGTGAAGGAGAAAGCCACACAAGTTCAGGAAGCACAGAGGGTTCCAAACAAGAAGTACCCAAAGAGACCCACTCCAAGAAACATCATAATTAAAATGACAAATGTCAAGGACAAAGAGAAAATATTAAAGGCGGCAAGAGAGAGACAAGCAGTTACCTACAAAGGAACTCCCATAAGGCTGTCTCTTATACACATCTCTCCCNAAAAGAGAGACAAGCAGTGACCTACAAGGGAACCCCCATAAAGCTGACAGCTGATTTCCCAGCAGAGACTCTTCAGGCCAGAAGGGAGTGGCATGATGTTCTCCAAGTAATGAAAAGCAAGAACATGCAACCGAGATTGCTTTATCCAGCAAGGCTATCATTTAAAATTGAAGGTGAAATAAAGAGCTTCCCAGACAAAAACAAAAAAAGGCTAAAGGAGTTCAGTACCACCAAACCAGCATTGCAATACATGCTAAAAGGACTGCTTTAAGAAAAAGAAGGAATAGTAAGAGAAAGGTACATCAGCATAAAGGGGAAAAATGGTATTACATAAGTTGATATCAATTATAACCTTAAATGTAAATGGAATAAATGGTCCAATCAAAAGACAAAGCATAGCTAAATGGATAAGAAAACAGGACCCAAATGTATGCTGTCTACAAGAGACCCACCTGAGAGCAAAAGACTCACACAGGCTAAAAGTGAAGGGATCGAGTAAAATATTCCATGCAAATGGAAAGGAAAAGAAAGCTAGAGTAGCAATTCTTATTTCAGACAAAACAGACTTCAAAATAAAGACCATAAGAAGAGACAAAGATGGTCACTACATATTACTAAAGGGATCAATCCAACAGGAGGAAATAACCCTTATAAACATTTATGCACCCAATACAGGAGCACCTAAATATATAAAACATTTCTTGGGGGACTTTAATGGGGAGATTGACAACAACACAATCATAGTGGGAAACTTTAACACCCCACTGTCAGCATTGGACAGATCATCAAGGCAAAAATCAACAGGGAAATGCAGACCTTAAATGACTCACTGGAACTAATGGGTTTAATTGACATTTATAGAACATTTCACCCCAAAGCAGCAGAATACACATTCTTCTCAAGTACACATGGAACATTCTCAATAATGGACTACATGTTGGGGTAGAAGGCAAGTCTCTACAAATATAAGAAGATTGAAATCATATCAAGCATCTTCTTGGATCACAATGCAATGAAACTGGAAATCAACCACTATAAAAAACTCAAAAATAGTCAAACGTATGGAGGCTAAATAGCATGTTATTAAACAATGAATGGGTTACCAATGAGATCAAGGAAGAAATAAAACACCTCATGGAAAGTATCGAAAATGAACAGACAACAACCCAAAACCTATGGGACACAGCGAAAGCAGTCCTGAGAGGAAAAATCATAGCATTACATGCCTATCTCAAGAAACAAGAAAAAGATCTAATGAACCATCTAACACAACAACTAAAAGAACTAGAACAAGAACAGCAAGAAAATCCTCGAGGAAGTAGAAGGAAGTAAATAATAAAAATCAGAGCAGAGATTAATGACATAGAGACTAAAAAAACAATACAAAAAATCAGTGAAACCCAGAGCTGGTTCTTTGAAAAGGTAAATAAGATTGATGAATCTTTAGCCAGACTCACTAAGAAACAGAGAGGTCCCAAATAAATAAAATTAGAAATGAAAGAAGCAATATAACAACTGACCAAACAGAAATACAAAGGATTGTAAGAAAATATTATGAGCAACTATATGCCAACAAACTGGACAGACAACATGGGGGAAATGGAAAAATTCCTAGAAGCATACAACTTTCCAAAGCTGAATCAAGAAGAAGCAGAAAACCTGAATAGGCCAATAACAACTAACAAAATTGAAGCAGTAATCAAAAACCTCCCAGCNCAAAATTGAAGCAGTAATCAAAAAACTCCAAGGAAACAAAAGTCCTGGACCAGATAGGTTTACAGGTGAGTTTTACCAAACATTCAAAAAAGAATTAGCACCTATTCTATTCAAACTATTCCGGAAAATTCAAGAGGAGGGAAAACTCCGAAACTCTTTTTATGAGGCCAGCATCATCCTAATCCCAAAACCAGATTAAGATACTACAAAGAAAAAAAATTACAGGCCAATATCCCTGATGAACATAGATGCTAAAATCCTCACTAAAATACTAGCAAACCAGATCCAGCAATGTATTAAAAAGGTCATATAACATGATCAAGTACGATTTATTCCGGGGATGCAAGGCTGGTACAACATCCGCAAGCCAAATGTGATACATCACATTAATAGAATGAAGGAAAAAATCATATGATCATATCAATAGATGCAGAAAAAGCATTGAACAAAATCCAGCACCCATTTCGGATAAAAACTCTCAGCAAAGTGGGAATAGAGGGATCATACCTCAACATAATAAATGCCATATATTACAGACCTATGGCCACCATCATACTCAATGGGCAAAAACTAAAACCATTTCCATTAAAAACCGGAACAAGACAGGGATGTCCACTTTCACCACTCTTATTCAACACAGTACTGAAAGTCCTCGCCATAGCCATCAGACAGGAAGCAAACATAAAAGGTATTCAAATTGGAAAGGAGGAAGTAAAACCATCATTATTTGCAGATGACATGATATTGTACATAGAAAACCCTAAAAACTCCACCAA